GAACATCTGTAGCTGCCGTATTTGAATCGGGCCTCTCTGACATTAAACTAGGTGTAAATGCAGTCTCCGGGATCGCAGCTGGGTCGTGTGGGTATATTCCTGTTGCGCGAAATCCTGACTGAAGATTTTCAGAAGACATGGCCCTTGGATACACTTTCCTCAAAATTTCTCCAAATCTTGCACGATTCAACTTCCTGCCAGGATACCGCTTGTAATGGTTAAGTATTTCATTTTCCCAATGATATTCGAAACTGCGGAAAACACATTTATCCAGCGGTTGCAGCACGTGTGTCGTGTTACTCGGAAGACACAATAAAGTGATGTGACGTTTTTCGGAGGCGTCAACAATAGTTGCATCCAAATGAGAAGAGGCACCATCAAAAATGAGAAGAATATCTCCTGGTGGCTTATAGTTTGCTAGATGGTCTAGCCATTTAACAAGCACTGCTGCCGTCATACTTCCTTTTTCGGTCATTTCAATTACTGTTCCGGTTGGCATATTGTCACCCCATTCATCCTTTTTACGGTTTCCCTTGAACAGGACCATTGGTGGTATTGCCTGTCCAATAGCATTTCCACATGCAACTATTGTGGAATTTTCTGCGTGCTCATTAGCTACATAGTGAACACGTCTTTCACCTTTCCTCGCCAACACATTTGGTTGGCGGTGGATAGTGAGTCTGCACCCCTTCTCATCTACATTGTAGATACGATGGGGCTGATTGATTAGGTTTAGTCTAATCAGCAAACTTTCTAGTTTTTTGAAGTAGTCGTTTACAATGTACTTATTTACTTTCTGTGCCCTAGCTGGATTTAAAACCTGTGCTTTCCTTTGGCGAATATTTTCATGTCTGTCCAAAAACAACTTCAACCATTTTCTACCTGCCATTCCACTATTTCCATTAAATGTGTGACGAATTTTTTTGTCATTAACATAGGAAAAGACGGATTTTCGCAAAATCTTTGGTGTAAGGGGCATTCCTGTATCCGATAATCGGATTATCCTTGAGCATAGTTCATCTTCCTGCTCTCTAGACAAAATTGTACGAGTACCAAGTTTTCTTTCTCGCACACCTGTACGAACATGATTGCGAAGTGTTCTTCGTGGAATTTGGTATTCTTTGGATGCACGATTTACCGACGTCCCACTGTTTATACTATCCAGTGCTTGTACAAGCGCTTCGGTTGACCACAGCGCCCTTTTCTTAGAGGCCATATTTCGACTATAGTCTCTGAAAAAAAAAACATCTTAATTTAAGACATCTGCCGTAATGGCCAGCGTGTTCCCAATAAGGCCAAGTGGCCGTAATGGGAACCGTTTATCATGGCCTTATTAGGCACATATAACCTTAAACATACAATTTATAAAATACAAAATATTTAAAACCTGGCGACGACAAATAACTAGCTGTATATGTTCTACGTATATAGACTTACCTGATTGAACTGACAACAGATTTCGCAAAAAGAAGCAGACAACATGAAATATCGAAGACAAATTTAAAGTAGTAATTTTGTAAGGCACGTGTTGAAAATCGACACTGGCCAACTGCGCCATCTAGCGCCGCTCCACACCTGCTACATTTATGGGTGCTAACTCATCTCAATGAATGTATAGAACTGTAGAAATCTTTAATTCTAGATGTAACTAGTGTCTGTAAAATCGACGCATGGCATTATAAGGAGCTTGGCCTTATTTGCTACAGGTACCTTATATCATGTTATATACAGTGTTGTATATTTCCTGCATGTCATGTATTTACACTCCAATAAAAGCTATTATTGCTATTTTCATTATTATTATCTGTGGTTCGATTCATTGACAATTGCAAGGGAGATGGATAAAATATAACAGCGTGAAGCCAAGTTTACACTTGAACACCTTCACTTTCACCTTCAAAACAAACCTGACTTTAACGAGGTCATAATCAAAGACAAAGAAACAACGACGACTTTTCTGTGCACTTGAGAAGCAAACCGAATTCCTGAGTTCTCGAACAATACCTGTCAAATCTATTCCAGCATCAACATACAAGAATCGGCATGCTCTTAAAGTAACCTTGTCAAGATAAGACTTTCTACAAGGTGCTAATGAAATAATCCTTTCAGTACGCTGATTTTCGGAATTTTTGTTGAGAACTACTATAGGCACCCTCACCATAATCCCTCTATTTCTCAGAAACTAATCATAGGATTGCTTCGGTCTTATCTGTAAAATAACTTTCATAAAAATGTGGAGTAGTGGTATCTGATTTTTTAGACAAAACTACTGAGACCCATTTTCTGTACGTTTTGTGTGAGGTTCCTTCTTAGGTAAGATTTCGGTTTCTAGACCAACCATTGAAAAGAAGTTCAGGCTTCACTGGCACGCTATTACTGCAAAATGCAGTTTCAATTTATGCAGTAATCATTAAAAAAACACGTACTCGTGTGAATATGCACCACTTCCATGAAATGTGTCAAGGACTGGTTTTATGTATAAGACTTTCTTGCAGCATGAGATGGCAGGTACTCGTAAATTTTGAACAAAGGACTTGTGTTAAATACATTGCGATAAGCAACAAGTCATAAACACAAATATGCAGCATGCAATGCTACGTTGGTTGTGGTATTGATTTTTCCACGTTTCACTAAACAAGAACACTTAGTCTCAAAGAGTGTAGTTCTTATAAATAAGAGGCACGCATGTCAACCCATATTCGGGTCATCCACTGTTAATAAACCTAACTCCGCCTTTTAAATTTTAGTGTTTATGTCGTTTCTTAAAGCACTCCTTTTTGTTTTACTTGCGTATACCAACATGGCTGTTTTTAAAGGGGTCAAACGAAGATTACGACTAATACCAAACTTTTCAATTTGGGAAGATCTTGATTATTTGTATTATTAGCTGTTTCCATGTTATTACTCCTAAACGAATAGAAAATCTGAGAAACAGTAGTCGTAAAAATGGTATGCTGCATGGTTTTACCTCTGTTTTTAAATCTGAGATATACAGGGTGTACCAGAAGTCGACGTCAAGCCAAAACCGGGTGATAGGCAAAGTCATAACAGCGATCAGAAAAATATTTAAAAAAAAAATTATATATGTGTTTTAAAAATTATAGGTCGTTGAAAAAGATATAGAAATTTCACACCCTACGGCAGACTGTCAACTCCTGTTACAACAAATATTAACTTTTTTTGGATTTTATTTTTACAATGTAATGATGAATAATGCATCTTCAAACTGGTGTCTCAACCTTACTGCCAACTTTTCTCGTTCAGGAAAAATTGCCACTTATTTCCCAACCAAGTATTCCAAAGTAAAACTTTGCTCAACTTTAACTGGCTGTACTGGAAAAAGACATCATCAGCAGCATTTTGACGCCCACTGTTGTGCAAACAGTTATCCTTAAGGGTCCTTGTGCGTTTTCATAATCGCTGTTTAATTAGGAAATTTTGAAAAATTTTCATCAGTTTTTCTTCAAATAAAAATTGTGCATAAGTTAACGAGTAATCTTCTAAGTGTTATACCATTTTGGAATCGCTATTAGTAGTACAGCCAGTTAAAGTTGAGCAAAGTTTTACTTTGGAATACTTGGTTGGGAAATAAGTGGCAATTTTTCCTGAACGAGAAAAGTTGGCAGTAAGGTTGAGACACCAGTTTGAAGATGCATTATTCATCATTACATTTAAAAAATAAAATCCATAAAAGGTTAATATTTGTAGTAACAGGAGTTGACAGACTGCCGTAGGGTGTGAAATTTCTATATTTTTTTCAAAGACCTATAATTTTCAAAACACATACATAAAATTTTTTCAAATATTTTTCTGATAGCTGTTATGACTTTGCCTATCACCCGGTTTCCCTTTGACGTCGACTTCTGGGACACCATGTATAATGAAAATAGCAAGGGTCCTAACACTGCTCCCTGTGGTACACCAGGACAATTTTTTGTGCGATAGAGTACAACAGATTTAGACGAACTTTTTGGAACCCTTTTTCAAGGTAGGCCTAGATAAACGAAACATGTTTTCCAGAGAATCCATAATAACTGCATTTAAACAAAAAAGGTAAATGAGTAAATGGATCAAATGCATTAGTAAAGTCAAGAACTATAACAACTACGAGAGTTACTGCTTTTAGGTTAGGAGGCTGTTTAATCACATAGTACCGAAGCTGTATTATGACCTTGTCGAAATCCAGATTGCTTAGATGGAATAATTTTGTTCAACAAAGAGTAGACCGCATCTACCACACCGCTAGAGTCGGTGGCATCTAGCGGCCAAGCTGGTGACCTGGCTACGAAATTCAAACCTGGATATACTTTTTTTGTACGTCCTGAACTCTACCACATTTATTCAGCAAAACCCAAATTTACCAATAGAAAAATAATATATATCTAACGTATACATTAACAAAACAAAAACAAGGTTTCTCTATAATATATAAGCGCGTAAGTTCAAAAACTTGAATGCGCCAAAACCGTCCAAAATACTAATTAATTGATAAATATCGTGCAATATATATTTTTGTATAAATCACTCAACAACATGAATCACAGTATAGACAAAATGAAAGAAAACTTCATATTTTTGTTGTAAGTCATAGATTTGACTTAATATCGCAGAAAAAAGCTCGCAGTGAGTGAATCTAGTAATAGATGAAACTTTGTGCTACTTTATTCTGATTTCAGGCGTTCCGAATTCGCGAATAACTTTGCAATTACATAGTATTCTGGGTATTCAGATATATCCTCATAGAATTCAGATAGAATGAAACCAAATTCAATTAACCAGTTTTACGCCAGTCGTCTTGCAATCCGTTTTTCCTATTGCAGTAGCAGCACGTGATGGGTATGTCGCCCTTAAGCTTATAACAACACTTGTCACCCGCACATGGACAAGGATATTCGCTCTCGCTTCTGTTACTAGATGGCACTTTGTACTGTCTTATTTCAAGACAATGCTTCAAGTGACTGATGAATTGTGTCAATTGTTCGACCGCTTGATTGTTCCAGCATATCACCATGCTGCGTCTCAACCACACCATATCCCCCGCATAGTTATCTTTAAGACCACAACCACCAAGAAGCCAGGAACAAAGCGAACTCGACACCATGGCAAACACGGCCCATTTAATCCGGAGACAGAGCAGCCGCGACCTCAACGCCCAACGCTCCATGGAGTTGAGGGAGATGAGAGGGAGGCTGGTCATGGAGAATGGGAATAACACCATCGGGAGTTACGGGTCTACGAACGCTGCTTTCGAGCCTGATGTCAGTCCGGTGCAGGAGAAACCTACTAACTTAGAATGCAAGAGGTAGGTTAAAGTGAATTAGAAACAGTTTTGAATTAAATATTCGAGCCGAGACCTAATGTTTAGTCGAATAGCTTAGTATACTAAGTGACATATAAATCCGAACACCCAGTTTAAATGGTTTTATTTTAATAAAAGTTGGTGAATGTATTTATCTTACTGTAAATAACAAGTGAAAAAATTTTCAGCCTTATCAGTTGGGCATTCCGGTTTTTATACTGCTTTTTTTTAATTCACTATCGCTCTAAAAATGAATATTTCAGCCGCAGTAAAGAATCAACGTTGGCGGATTTTGGTTCTTGACATCCTTTACGATCGGTTACGATGCCTAGAGTACGGAGACCTGTACGATTTCGTCAACTTAGTGAGTTTGATAGGGGCCGTATAGTGGGACTTCGGGAAGCTAGACTTTCTTTTCGGGCAATTGCAGTTAGAGTGCAAAGAAGTGTAGACACTGTGGTTAGGTGTTGTCAGGCATGGCTTCGAGAAGGCCGTACGCAAAGAGCAAGCGGCACTGGATGCCGCCGTAGAACAACAGACCGTGAAGATCGCCGCCTAAGATTATTGGCCTTAAGGGACCGTTTCTCCACTACCAGGTCCATTGCAAATGAATGGTTTGCAGAACACGGAAGACCTATTGGCATGCGAAGTGTTTACCGACGAATGAGAAGTTTTGACTTGTTTTCATACCGGCCACACTGGGTCCTCCCTTTAACTCGAGAACACCGACGTAATCGCCTTGAGTGGTCCAGACAACGGTCACTCTGGGATCAGGAATGGAACAGTATTGTCTTTAGTGACGAGTCTCGATTTTGTTTAGGCATGCACGATGGTCGTGCCAGGGTTAGAAGGCGATGTGGTGAAAGGAGGAATCCACAGTTTTTTGTTGAAAGACATGTTCATCACACTGTTGGAGTTATGGTTTGGGGTGCTATAGCTTATGGTTCCAGGTCACCTCTAATCTTCATCAGAGGTAACATGAACGCGCAGCGTTATATCCACGAAGTTCTAGAACCCCATCTTTTACCCTATATTGACACCCTGGCAGATCCAACTTTCCAACAAGATAATGCCCGACCACATGTTGCAAGAGTCACAATAGACTTCTTTCAACATAATGATGTCACATTGTTACCATGGCCACCAAGATCTCCCGACTTATCCCCAATTGAGCACGTGTGGGATATGATGGCTAGGAGATTGCTCGATTTGCAACGTCCTCCTCAGACTCTAGAAGCACTTCGAGAGGAGTTGGTGGTTGCCTGGAATGAGATACCACAGGAGGACATTGACCACCTGATCAGAAGCATGCCTAGGGGCGTTGGAGAATGCGTAGCACATCAGGGTGCATCCACACATTATTAAAGGTCAAAGGGCTTTAAAGCAGTGCAATCATTTTGAAATTTTTATCATTTACTTATTATGCTTCATTAAGTACTTATACAAAATTTTATTAAAATAAAACCATTTAAACTGGGTGTTCGGATTTATATGTCACTTAGTATATTAGTGCATATTTTGACTCATTTGACTGCCATTGCATAAAGAGATGCGTAGAACGAAATAGCGACTATGAAAAAAAATCAACTTTTCCAATGAAAAATTCGTTTTTAGACACAAGACACAATAAATTTTTTGTTTGAAAAAATGTGGAAACCACTATTTTTTAAACTGCCCTCGTAAAACTTACTGGAGGAAAGACCTACCTTTAATAGGCTTATACCACTCTGCAGATTATGCAAGCAGTATCATGTCACTATAATTATTTGCCGGGAATCCGATTTTAATGTCAAAAATTGTATGCACTTTCATCAAGACTAGAGATTGAGATTTCGGAGACAAACCCTAGACGTGCTCCTTCTACCTAGTCTGAATTCGTTGCTTCCAATAAACTGCTGTTTAACTCTTAGAGTGGCCAACTCTGACGATGGCTGGTATTGTTTGCTATCTTATTTTTTACTGAAAGTGCTTGCTTTCTGTCGGTACGGTGTTGCTTTCAGAGACAACGGACAGAGAACGTGGCACATTGAGATCTACTGAAAACAAAATAAATATTGCATACATAATATGTGCTGAAGCTAATTCATGAGACCTTTACCTCAAAGATTCAGAAACGCCTCTCACCATTCTGCTACGAACATTTTACAAAGCTTTCGACAACGCCTCAAATCTAAAGCTAGGAGACCTTGCGTACCGAATGTAATAAAAGTAACAGCTTAGTACTTTTGTTAGTGTTAAACAGGGCATTTTCACACCTACCCTACTTATGTGATGCTGGGTGTTAACGGTCATTTGTGATCATGATTCTGTCCTTTTTGTCCAAAATATTATCATTTGAGTGTACTTGTATTTTGTATAACACGATAGAATAGAGTTTTTTCTTTTTTCGGCTAATAAATGTATTTGAATTTCAACTTGAATTTTGCTGGGTAGTTTTGAAACATCTTGAGGCCAGGTCTTTACCAGCTTTGAGCAGTAAGTCGTTCAATGTGGACCTTGGCTTTGACCCTGACCTTCAAGATTTTCTTTTCACACCGCTTGCAGATTTTTCCACAATCTCGATAACCGAGGGATAAAGGACGGTCGTATCGGCCAGTTCAGGATGTACGAAAAACGAAATGGTTAGGAGGGGAGGCCGAAGTCCGGCGAGTCTGTCCCGCTAGAAGAGAGCTAGATCGTCGACGGCACACCGGTAAGAAAGGGTCCCGAGACTTTATTGGTCATCGATCAGTTATCGACGCTGAACATATATATGTTTTTTTTCAAACACAAGGACATACACAAATATACTTGGACTCAAAAAACAAAAAACTTGAAATCAATTATTGAGTATGTCGTGATTAAGCAGGACACTTCCATAATACCCTATGATGTAAAAGTTTGGAGAGGAGCTGAGTGCGGTTCAGATCACCTGCTAGTAAAAGCACCCATTGAAATTGCTTACAATAAACATCTTATACGTATATATCAAGAACAAAATAACAATGGAAAACCCACAAAGCGATATAACATAGACAGCTTAAGGGATGAATCCACCAGTTTCCTTTACAAACTACGTTTAGCACAAAACTGGACGAAGATATTAACGGCAAGGCAGAAGAAATCTATGAAACTTTGAAACACAAAATTCACGAAGCAGCACTAGAAGCCCTTGGTGTTAAAGATAGAACGGAACACAAAAATTCTTGGTGGACGGACGATTTAACCCAACTGGTAGAAGAAAAGAAAAACTTATATCTTAAATGGTTAACTACAAAAGACGATGAAGATCGAAAAAGCTATAATCGTTTTAAATATATAGTAAAAAAAGAAATTAAAAAAATAAAAAACAAAACATGGGAAACCAAATGTGCTGAAATTAGCTCAATGGTAGGAGGATCTAGGTCTAGAGAAGATTGGCGAACTATAAATGGTCTTAAAACAAACACGAATGAAAGAAGAAAAATAAATCCCATAAAAATAGAACAGTGGAAAGACTACTACAATAATCTACTGGCAGAACGACGTGGAGAGTATTTAGACACGCAACTAGATATAGATCAAACGGGAGTTAACAGAGTAGATACCATTCAATTAGAAGAAATAAAAACAGCATTACAAAAAATGAAAAATAATAAAGCTCCGGGACCGGGGGATTTGCCTATCGAGTTAATTAAACACGCCACCACAAGAACGCACGAGCTACTTTATGTAATTTTTAACAAGTGCCTGGAAGGGGAAACGATTCCCAGAGATTGGAGGAGCTCTTACATAAATTCCATTTATAAAAAGGGAAACAGGAGTGACTGTAGCAATTATCGGGGTATTAGTATTACATCGTCCATCGGAAAGCTGTACGAAAGAGTCCTAACAGCCCGAATAGAAGACGAAGCCACGGAAATTGAAGAACAAAGTGGATTTCGACCTGGGCGATCCTGTGTCGACAACATATTTACAATAAAACAACTGACAGAAAAGAGATTAGCAAGAGGAATGGAGCTACACTACTTTTATAGATCTCCGCAAGGCATTCGACTCCGTCCCTTTGCAGAAATTATGGATCGCAATGAAAGAAGCAGGCATAAATAGCAAATACATAAACGCCGTAAAAGCAATGTATAGAGAAAATCAAGTGGTCGTTAAAGTCGGAAATCAAATTTCTGAGGCTTTCCCACAAACAAAAGGTGTTAAGCAGGGCTCCTGCCTCTCTCCAACCCTGTTTAAAATTTATCTCTGCAGCGCTTTAAAACAGTGGATAAGAAAGTGCAGCCCCATGGGGATATGGTTAGAGGACTTTCACTTGTATACAATCATCTTTGCAGATGACTTACATGATAAACAAACTTATAGAAGAATTCACTAAATGGGGTTTGGAGATAAATATACAAAAGACACAATACATGACTATAGGAGGCACAGGACAAGACATCGAAACAAAAAGCGGAAAAATAGAAAACGTCGGACAGTACCAGTACCTAGGAGTTACAATAGATGGAAGCGGAAAGGATAATAAAGACATACTAAGGAAAATAGGAAAAGGAAAAAATATGATTAAAGCACTACATCCGATCTTGTGGAGTAAGAACCTAACAAAGAAAACAAAAAAATTATATATCAGGCTATGATTCAGCCAGTACTGACGTATGGGTCAGAAGCGTGGGTTGTAGATAAAAATATGTCACAAAAGCTTCTCTCAACCGAAATGATGTACTGGAGAAGATGTTCCGGTTTAACTTTACTTGACCATGTTAGAAATGAGACCATCAGAGAAAGAATGGAAGTCGAAAATACAAAAATGGACGATATAACAGAGAGGCAGTTAAAATGGTATGGACACCTGCAACGAATGAACGACGAAAGGATACCATTAAGGGTTTGGAAATGGTCACCAACACAAAGAAATAAACGAGGAAGACCACGAAGGAAATGGATTTCAAACATCCATACCGCAATGGAAAGTAGAGGACTACATGAAGGAGACTGGATACGATGGCGTATGGGTTGCGAGAAGCGACATTAGGTTG